ACACATTTAAGAAAATAAAATAAATTCAATAAAAATGACAAATGCATACAACAACATTTCAAAACTAAATATTTAAATGAAAACAAAAAATAAAGCTAAAAACAATTCAAAATATTAGAAGAACAAAAGGTATGAGTATAATAATGATTCTAACATAACACCAAGCCAAAGACCAAAAAACGACTAAATATGTGTATGTACACACACACACATATACATGTACATATATATATAAATACATTCAATATATATATTCCATTTTGTATGTTGAAGTACTGAAATAACTCAAATTAAAATTATTATTATTAAAATTATTTAATTTATTTAATTAAAATTATTTTAATTATTATTAAAACTCAAATTATTTCTCACATTTACACATTTTGTAAGTAGAAGTTGAAACAATTTAAATAAAATAAAAAAATATAACTTAAAAGAGAAAGAAAAAATTAATGGGCATCACAAACATATGTTAAATTCATTTAGCAGAGACACGGTTCTTTGGGCTTTTCGATTTTTAAAAAAACTTTACAGATTCTAAATAAACTTTAAAGGCTGTGTGAAAATGAGCAAAATTGGGGTTTGAGTTACTCCATTAGGTTTGATGAATATACAATTTTCCTAATAAAAAAACGAATCAATAATAATAATAAAAAATTATTTTAGAAAAGTCGGAAGTCATTTGAATGAAGTAAGACAGATGATAAATTTAAGACAAGGATGCAGTTCATTTTAACACTTAGAAACTGTGACATCTCAGACCAAAATAACGATGAAGAGGGACATTCAAAAAAATAAATTCACAATTACAAAAAGAGCAATTGTAATCTATATCCAGATGAAAACGCTCTAATGTTTCTTTCACAGGACACTGTGTTCCGTTAGACTTCTGTGAGTAAAGGCAAAGCATATTAAAACCACCAGCATTGTAATAATAATAATTGTTAATTGCTAAATTACCTTTAAATAAATAAATAAATAATAGACAGACACGTGTAACCATTTGACTGACTGACTCATTTTCCTTATTGTCCCAAGCGCATGAAGGCTTCAGTCAGGTGTGAATTGGGCTTTTGTTAGCAAGAGCTTTGAAATTAATTCAGGAGTTTCAATCCACCCAGCTGAGAGTCTGAATAATTCAGACCGGGTGTCAGAGAAAGCCTGTTATGGAGAAGGCTATCTATAATGTAATGGAGCTGGACGTTTCTTCTGCGTTCTGTGTGTATTGAGTTGTAACTCAGTGATCTGGTTGTGAGAAGGGATACAGTGACATTAGTATTAGCAGTGAGAGACTGCATGCTGGATATGGCCAGGCTAAACCACACCTTCAACTGCAAACTTCTCTGAGAAATTATGTGAAAGTGGCGGCTGGTGGGAAATTTTCTAGGAAGGGCTGTGCCACATCCAAACAGTTAAAGTTAAAGAAAAAGGGTTTTAAAAAGTTAGTACATGGTTTGTTTGCACCAGGGTCACCGCTGGGGTTTCGGGGTCCCCTGAACATTCTCTTTGTTCATTCTCTTTAACCTTTATTTAATTGACTAAAGAACAAAGAAAACATTTCCAATGTTTTCACTGGCCGACTTACTTTTATTTTGTAAATATAAACAAATTTTGATTTTGATGGCTGCATCACATTCCGAAAAAGTTGGGACAGAGGCATGTTTACCGCTGTCACATCAACTGTCCTTTTAATTACAGTGTTTAATTGTTTGGGAATTGAGGATACTAATTGTTAAAGTTTTGAAAGCAAAATTTTTATTTGATACAATCTCGCTTGATACAAGACTTCAGAACCCCCGCGGCATCACTGCATAGAATTGATGTATAGTTTTCTCCTAGAGTAACAGAGATTCAAGTTGCATTTATTGATGCAGCGGCAGACTGTGTTAAGTGACAGCGGTTTTCCGAAGTACTCCTGAGCCCATGGGGGTATATTTAAAGGAACACTCCACTATTTTTGAAAATAGGCTCATTTTCCAACTCCCCTAGAGTTAAACAGTTGAGTTTTACCGTTTTCGAATCCATTCAGCCGATCTCCGGGTCTGGCGGTAGCACTTTTAGCTGTAGCTTAGCATAGATCATTGAATCGGATTAGACCGTTAGCATCTCGCTCAAAAATGACCAAAGAGTTTCTATATTTTTCACCCTGAGAGCCACAAATAAAGAGAAAAGGTCTCCCCCTGGGTATCTTTTCTTCACTTCAAGTCCTCAAATGAGCTAACTTCACTTTATCATGACAGCTTCCTACCGGAGGACGTTCACCTCCTCAGTGGCCTTCAAGAAACAAAAAGCCACTGCAAAGGCTGGTATTGATCCAGCATTATTTGTTAATTATAATTATCAAAGAGCGCTCAAAAATGACCAAAGAGTTTTTATATTTTTTCTATTTAAAACTTGACTCTTCTGTAGTTACATCGTGTACTAAGACTGACGGAAAATGAAAAGTTACTATACTCTCATTCCGGCGTAATAATCAAGGAACTTTGCTGCCGTACCATGGATGCAGCAGGCGCAATGATATTACGCAGCGCCTGAAAATAGTCCCCAGCACGCTCCCTGTGCAAGCAGGTGGTCACGTTGGTTATGTTGACGGAAGTTAGCCTATTTTCAGGCGCCGCCGGAATGAGAGTATAGTTCTTGTAAAAATCGCAACTTTTCATTTTCCGTCGGTCTTAGTACACGATGTAACTACAGAAGAGTCAAGTTTTAAATAGGAAAAATATAGAAACTCTTTGGTCATTTTTGAGCGAGATGCTAACGGTCTAATCAGATTCAATGATCTATGCTAAGCTACAGCTAAAAGTGCTACCGCCAGACCCGGAGATCGGCTGAATGGATTAGAAAACAGTAAAACTCAACTGTTTAACTCTAGGGGAGTTGGAAAATGAGCCTATTTTCAAAAATAGTGGAGTGTTCCTTTAACACGGCTCACACACATTCAACTGAGGCTCCTTGCCTTGCCCTACACAGACTGAGATTTCTCTGGATTCCCTGAATCTTTTCACAATATTATGTATGGTAGCTGGTTAGAGTCACATACACTCTTCACACTTCACATTATGCATGTCACAAACAGCAATGTGTAATACCATGGTGTTTTGGACACAAACCAGAGTATATCTATGTAAATACCCTTACGAAAAAGAAGTTTATTCAAGTGTGCTATTATTGTATACTTCTTTTAAACAAAAAAATAGGAAAGTATACTTTTAGTCTAGTTTTTATGTACTTCTCAGAAATATGACATTTAAGTATACTTGACTTATAGCCTACTTAGAAAAAGTCAAAATATATTTGAGCTATACTTGTGTTCCTAGAATCTGTGTTTTCATTGTTATACTGTAGGGGGCGCTAGTACACATCTTCTGTACAGAATTTCCAAAAAACACAAGTGAAGAAGAAACCGAAACAACAGATGCTTCCACATGTATTCTAACACGATCATCAGACATAAAACAGCATCAAAACTGTGTAACGTAATGGAATAAAATGTCGACCAATGAAGAGGTAATAATAACTGTCAAGCTTTGGGGTGTTGATTGACTTTATCTACGTTTTGATTATCGTTCTGAATCGAATTCATAGTCTTTTTCAGCTTTTTGTTCAAAATGATATTTCCTTTTTTTTAAAAATTTTTTTATGAAACTTACCCACTTTCAAGTGTTTAAAAAAGAATGCATGAAGCTAGAATAAAATGTTTTTGTTTACAAGCAGATACCCTGTTCTTTCTTTTGATGTTTTGTATGTTCAGATATTCATGTAACAAAATATATACAAATTAATAACTAAATGGGGACATAGTAGTATACTTAAAGTATGATGTAAAGTTCACTTAAAGAAAACTTACGAGTATACTTGCAGTATAAAACTACTAAACTAGTAGTTTACTGAGACTATACTTCAAAGTGTACTAAAAATGCTACAAGTATTTAATTAGTAAACTATCAGTATACCTATAAGTTCACTTTTAGTATAGTTGCACTACAAGCTAAAAATATTGATGTAAACTAGTTGTGTACTCAAAGTTTACAACTGTTATACTTAAAGTATACTTAAAAGTATACTTTTATATACTAGAAAGTGGGCCAATTTAGTCCCAAGGAGTATTGAAATAGTACACTTACAAGTATACTACTAGTACACTGATATTTGTATACTTGTTACATAAAGTATACTTAAAAATATACTTGAACTTTACTTTAGTATACTTAATAAAATAAACTTGAAGTATACTACTTTTTGGTTAGGGTATCATTCCATTACAATGCTGCGATAGTCATTTTTTTGTGAGTATGAAACAAAAGTTTGCTTCATTATACAGTTGCGGCTTATATATTTATATTATATGTCTTTGTTTTCTGTGATTCCAGAGACATTAATGACCATTAATATAAATCATACAACTGATTTTTGCCATAGTCTATCCAACGTAAAAATCTGCTTTTGTTTTACTAGTAATGAATGACATTATACTTCCTTTGCATTTTATGTTAATTAAAGACAGTAGTAGTCAATGACATTTGTAGGGTTTTTTGGGGCCTTTGTGAAGTTTGATAGATGAAGGCTATTCCTTTGATGTTCTCATAATTTTTGTATTGCACTGGTATCATTTTTGACAATCAGTTCCATCACTGTCTGCTTCTGTTGTGTCTACATTTTGCTCGGGGACCATGTTTGTACATCTTTTTATCTCCAAGGTTTAGTCTTGACATTTTTTTTTGGGGGGGGGGGGCCTTAAGCCGGACTTTCCCACTTGCTCCTGACTAATTTGTTTTACTATTGTTTCTGTGAATGATTGATCAAAGTGAAACTACTTGTTTGTTCTCTTGTTCAGACTTTATTTAGAGCAGATGCCACAAACGTGGCCCCAAAAGTATCACAACACGAATTCAGTCACAATTAAAAATGCACGGATAGGACCATGCAAGTATGAAATCAAGCGACATCTTAGACCAAGATGTCTGTGGGGGGGGGGAATAAACATTAACAATAAACATAATAAATTGATAAAAGTGAAACTGCTGTGTTGTGAGCAGCTGTATGATGGCGCCCTCTAGTAGTCAACAACTTATTATAAGTGAAACTATTTACATTTTTCATTGAACAAGAGTATGGCTTGGCATTTTAGCATTGATAATGATAACATGAAGCTAATTTAGACTATTAAAACTAATTTGTCAATGAAGAATAGCAATGTGACACTGCTTTCCTTTTTTAAGACTGAAAATAGATTGACGCAAACATGTGAATTTGGTTCAAACCTGTGAACTTATAAAATTGCTCAGTTTGTTAATGATATCAAAGCCACCCATTGTTTACTTGAAGAGGAAGGTCTAAAATGGTCTTGAACAATCAGATCAGACCCGAAAACAAATATATCGGGGTCAAACAATAAGGGTGCGTTCAGAGTGATTTCACACATGACTGGCACTAATGGAAGAGAGAGGAAAGGACTTCAGGAGCACTCTCTTTACTCTCAATACAATGCCTGTTAATGGGACTGAGACGGTCTGCAGCCTCCTCGACAAGAGTTCAGGTGTCAGACTGCATTCAATAACACTATGTAGCACGTATTAGAATGGTTTCCACACAAATGACACATTATACAGTCCTTTTTAGTCATTGACGTGTTTGAATGAAACTGACAGTGAAGGGGATAAACTTCCCACACAACTTGCTCTCAGGACAGATTTAAGGCGGTAAGTGTTAAGAGCTTGAGCACATTTGTTCTGATAGTCAAGGGGGTGTTTCTGAAGGACTGTGTTTTTTTGTTGGTCAAATAGACCGAGGATAAAAAGATACAAGACAGACTGTCCTCTTGAGAGCTCTATTAATGTGAAATGTAATGTAAAACTCATTTAAAGGGCCAGATCAAGTAGAAAAGGAAGTATAAATAACTATTTAAAGTAACAACTGTTCATTTAATGTGTGTTAATAGATATTTTTCATTGTAAACAAAAATATGGTTATCACATCAGAAATCATGTAAAAATCATTACAAAAGCAATAAACCAAAATCAGTCTGCTTGTTGAGTTCAATCAGGTGCATGGAATGGGCATTTTAATGTTATTTTCGTTTGTCATATGATCCTTATTTTAGACAACAACATCAAATTACCGTTTTATTCAAGTGAAAATAAATAAATAAATAAATAAATAAATCAACCTGCCAAAATCAGGATACGTCAGACCAAGTAGAAATAATGCTCGTTACAAATGTACATTTAATTTGTATTAATAGGCATTTTTCAAAGAAAATTGAAAAACAGTTGAATAAAAGTGATCAAAAAAGACATGAAAAAAAAAAAGATTAAAAATTATTACAAAAATACCAAAATCATTCTGCGTTTAGCATTGTTTTCGTTTGATTATTTTATTCAAGGAACTATATAATTTCATCATTAGCAACATACTGTGTTTTTCTCGTCTCTTGTTTGTAAAATATCGTTTCTTTCGCGCTTTCTAGTTGCTAGTCAGACGTCAAGTGGACGTGCGTAAAGCACAAACCTGCACGCTCGCGATTAAATGCCCAGTTACCATAACAACCGCCCGACCAATAGAAGAACGGGGAGCTGTTTACAAGAGGGTGTCGCGTTGCTGGGGTGACCGGACAAACGTCCTGCGGCAGGTATTAAACTGGCCCCGGAGCTTCTGCTGCCCTGGAGACCTTGAACTGAGACGCGCAGAGACACATTCTCCTGGAGACTCACGTCTGGAAGTTATTACGCCTTAATCGGATAAAAGTATTTTCTTGCTCTTTTCTGAAAACAGCTCGTGTGTTATTGGATGCTATTTCCCTGTCACTCAAGCCTCCTATCAGTAAACACAGGTGAGTTGATCTAGCTTTTTGGAATAGACATGGCGGACGTATTATCATTTCAAAAATGTGTTTACATGAAAATAAATTAATCAGTTGCTTACATTTAAAGTATACTGGTCTGGTTGCTAACGTGATAAAATTACAAAACGTGTTATCTCATTGCTGGTTGATAATTATTAAATTAATAATAATAATAATAATAAATGTTGTAGAATTAAAGAGAAAACGAAGTAATCTTACTTTATAATAATGATAATAACAATATTCTTCTTCTTATTATTACGTTTTGTTAATCTATACACTGGAAAAAATGGCCTAAAATGGTAACCTCTAAGTTAACAGGTTTTATTCAAGTCAAAATATTATTTAATATCACCGAATCAACCTAAATACATGAATTTAAACTGACTTTTATAGGCTTTTATAATCAAGAAATAGCTCTTTAGTTCTTACCGAGCAATTGCAGATCACCTCGTCTTACAGTGTAAACCATGTAAAACCGTATTTTGTGAGCGTCCATGAATCCCGATGCACCTGCCGTGCTGAGGAATGCTAGTGGCTTGGGATCTGCTCTATTGTGTGTTCACAGACACCAGTTATGAGCTGTTGTAAAGCCTGACCTGTGACGTTTCAGGAAACGTCTATGACCTCTATAAGCTGGAGAATCCAAATAAAGCCACATGCCTTGCAAACGTCCGTTGCCCCTATAAAGAAAACAAACAGTTGAACTCACTGCGCTCAAACGTTATGCCTCCTCAGGATTTGACTGGGACAGGACCATGCTCTCCATGAGTTACACGGACCCCTGGCCGGAGGGCTCGGTGGGGATGGAGGAGGTGGTGGTCACGGCCGCCGCTCAGGCCGAGCAGCTGGACCGGAGCTCACTCGAGTGCAACAGCAGCACCTGCAGCTCCGACAATTTAGACGACAGCCTCACCAGCCTCCAGTGGCTGCAGGAGTTCTCCATTCTCAACGGCAGCGCCTCCCAATCCAGCCATCGCCACAGCCACTTCTTTGGGAGCCAAGTAGGCTCGGATGCTCCCTCGTCTCCTTTAGCAGGAGATCCGGCGTCCATAGGTATGCCGCTGACCCCAGGCAAACCCACGGCGGCGTCTTTCTGCAGGACGCCTTCCTTGTCGGCTCTTCCCAGCTTGGTTGCTCACGGACACTGTCCGGATGAAGTCGATTATAAGACCAGCCCTCATATCAAGCCACCGTACTCATATGCAACTCTCATCTGCATGGCCATGCAGGCCAGTAAGAAAACCAAAATCACCCTCTCATGCATCTATAAGTGGATCACAGACAACTTCTGCTACTTCCGCCACGCAGACCCCACTTGGCAGGTAAGATGCAGCAGTCAAACTTTACAACTGTTTTAGTGCTACAAAATGCCTTACATTCATTTGCACTTAAAAGATGCACTTAATAGATGGCTTACACTGAGACCCGTGTCATTTGCATATCTGGCAAAGGGTATTTTGCTATTGTTTGAGCAGAATGGAGTGAGAGAAAGCCTTCTTAGCACCTGCTGGATTGTGTATTGGAGAGAGACCAACAGAAACCTTCCAGAAGCCTGTTGTTTAGAGGCTTGATATTTGGAGCACAAAACCAGTCATAAGGGTCCATTTTTCGAAATTGAGATTTATACGTCATCTGAAAGCTGAATAAATACGCTTTCCATTTATGTATGGTTTGTTAGGATAGGACAATATTTGGCTGAGATGCAACTATTTTAATATCTGGAATCTGAGGGTGCAAAAAAATCTAAATATTGAGAAAATCATCTTTAAAATTGTCCAAATGAAGTTCTTAGCAATGCATATTACTAATCAAACATTAAGTTTTGATATATTTACGGTAGGAAATTTACAAAATATCTTCATGGAACGTGATCTTTACTTAATGTCCTAATGATTTTTGGCATAAAAGAAAAATCTATAATTTTGACCCATACAATGTATTTCTGGCTATTGCTACAAATATACCCCAGCGACTTAAGACTGCTTTTGTGCTCCAGGGTCACATTTTTAGCTTTTGGATGACTACCAAAAAGAGCAAGAGCTTTTCCAGCTTAGTTGTTCGACTAATGACGTGTGCTCAGATGAAAGAATAACAGCAAAAGTGTATCGTATGGTGTAATGTAAAAAAGTTACATTGGGCTTTTGTCTCCTTAAAACATGTTTATAATTTAAACTGCTTTTCAAAGTGAGGCGAGGAGGTACAATGAGCCCATAAGTTGGATATTTACAAAAAAAGGGGGATTTCTAAAAAGATTCAGATTGTTTGGATTATTAATTAACCACTTAGCCATAACCTCTTTTCTGTGAAGAAAACGTAGACATTCGCTCAGTTTTTAGATATTTAAACTTAAAACAATGTTTAACCAGGGTCAGGAGGTCAGTGCTTCATTTAAATGTAATTTAGCTTGCTGTGGTTGGCATGCCTGATGCGTAGATACACAGCGGAGGCCTTTAAAGACCCTACGAAATCAAAATTGGACATTTGTGGCTTTTATCAGTCCACGTTTGTTAGCTTTATGGTCTTGCATACTACTGAAAGTTGACCAAATAAATTCTCAGTCGCGCAAATTTCTCTTAAAATGATTCGACTTTGCTTGCAAAACATTTGATGAGTAACAGTAAATGTGATTGTACTTTTAATACACTAATATTAAACATGTTTTACTATATACGTAGAAATTAACGTTAACCTAGATTAATAAATGATGCGAAAGTATTGTTCTTTGTTTATGATACCTAATGCGTTAACTAATGTTAACAAGTTGAACCTTCTTGTTTAGTCTTACATGTCATGGTAAACAGATGTAAAAAACTAAAGCCTAAATTAATCGAAAGCCTAAAAACAGACAAGCCCAATGATATGTCCTGCCCAAAATTCTTGTTTTCAAAAGAAATATGTCCACATAAGGAGAAAACCTGCACTCAAGCTTTTTCACGGTGTCTTTAATGCATAACTTCCATACGTTTAAAGGGATAGTTCACCCAAAAATGAAAATTCTGTCATTACCATATTGGCCCGAATATAAGACGACCCTGATTATAAGACGACCCCCCTTTTTCCAGATGTACCTTTTGGAAAAAGGCTTTTTAAAAACCAAATCTTGTTTTTTCTCAGTAAAACACATTTTGTCTTCAATTATTTTTATATTGCATATTTTTCCTATTTTAATTTTTGTTTTGAAAGTATGATAAAAACTGGTAAAATGTACCAACAATCACATATAAAAAATATACACTTTTTGATATACCATAAAAAAAAAAAAAAAA